CAAGGTGCTGACTGTATATTTGTACAAATAATATTATTTTGTGACTTGGGTTATTTGTGGATATAAGAAATTCTCATACTTGTTTAAGGAGAGCTGGGAGTATGACCTTAGGAAGTGGGAAGGAAGAGAGATGAGGAGGCACTTTACAGTTTGGTTAGGATGTGAGTAATAGTAGCTTTTCTTTTCTCTTTTTCCTTCTGAAGCAAAAGGCACTAAAGTTGTAACATATTGTTCCTCAGAATTGCCTTTTCTGATCAGATACATGTTTCTCAGATTTTTCAAGGCTATGTGAATTATGAAATGTGTTTTAGTAGTTATCTTGAAAAGTAGTTCTGTTTTTTGAATAAAGACTATAATCTGTTCTTTCTTCCAGGGGCACAAGAAGTTCTCATTGATCCAGGTACATGATCTACATGTTTAGTTTCTTTTGGTTATTTTTTTAAGTGCTTGTTTCATGGTGGCGTGAATGAATGGTTAAAATTTCTGGATTATGATCTTTGGAACATTCTGATTTAAGTGACTTTAAATCAGAACAGTTAAAAGCCTGATTATTGCTTGGTTCTTGTTTGATGGTGCTCCGTATTGCTTTGTGTTGTCTGTTGAAGAGGAAAATTCTTCCTCTCGCATGGTTAAGTGAATGATTTGAGAATTGTGCCTTTAATTCTTTGAATGCATCAAGCATGTTTGTCTTGTTAATTTTGAATTCATTCCTAGTAATGACTTTGCTCTAATTCTATGGCTTATGCTCCCTTCAACATGAATTAGAATTTTCTGCTGCATTTCGTTATGTGTTTTTAACAGGGAAATAAATCTTGCATTTTTTACAGAAGTGAGTTTTTCTTAATACTGCCTGTAATTAGTGCAGCAAATGTCTCTTTTTTTACAGTGCTTAATTATTTCATGATGAGCTCTATTATTTTCTGGCTTAATTAGAAACAATGATAGGGTAAATATTTTAAAAAATGAAAAATATCCTTTCTTTGAAATCAGATAGTTGTGCTTACACAGGCATTGTGGATAATACATTTACTTTTGTCTCATTGTGTATCTTGATTCATAAATGAAGCTGCTTCAGGTTTGCAGATTTTTGTTTTAACATTTGCGATCACTCCTTCCTCTAGGCGATGGCTAAATTTCCTGATAGGGTTTTTTCAAAGTGTTGAGGAAAGACAAAGATGTTTAGTTTTATTTTCAGGACACCCGAGTTGCTGGTAAGAAAACACCTTGAGGGTAAGGTAGGCTTTCTGTGACTGAAGAACAGAAGGCTCCCATTGACTTAATATCTGATGAAAAATTCAATCAATGTTGAATGTATTGGTATTTGACTAATATAAGTTATTGAGCCCAGATTGGCTAACTATACCTGATATAAAATATTGAATTCCAGAGTGTTGATCACTTCAGTTGTAGGAGAATTTGGTGAAATAAAAAATGAGTTTTAAAAACATTTCTGAAACTTTTCAAGATAAGCTTGTATAAAGATGAAATTGAGCTCAGAGTGCTGGGAGTAAAAGTGAGGATGCTTTCAGGGCTGTGAAAACTACCAGAAATGGACATAGAACCCAGTGTTTGGTTTGTAAAGACATCCTCTGTAATGGTCCCAAATGAGAATAGTTTGAACTTGACTTCTCCTTCCCTGAGGGAGAGCAAGAAAAGAACGTTGAGATGTTGCTCTGGCCCCACGTTCTGGGTCTAGCCTTCCAGGCCACCCCAGTTTCCCACGTGTGTCTTCTGGTCTTTGCTTATGTGGGAAGGGGAGAACCTTTGTGTTAGGACTGACCCACCTGCTACAAGCTTATCTGCCTTTCAAGGGTTGGCCCTACCTAAACCCTTGCCAGTGTGATTTGATTCCCCATAACCCCTACATCTGAGTAGCTAACACTTTCAGGGATTATAAATTTGTACAACTTCATAGAAAACCTATTCACATGAAGCTGTCACAAAATTACATCGCTTTCATTTTATTTTTGAGTTTCAAATGCATATAATATTTGAAGCAAGCTGTTTGAATTTTTTTTTCCTACCCAGTTTCCTACAACTATTTCAAAAACCAGAAGAAGAGTTTCATGGTTCTTGGGAGTTTGCTCCATTGCTTATCCTAAGAACAAAGCTTCTCCTCCCAGCATTTCTAGAAGCTAGACCTTTGAATTCTTTTATTATTTATTTATTTTTAAAAATTGTAATCTCACCCTTTTGCCCAGGCTGGAGTGGCACAGTCACAGCTACTGCAGTTTTGACATGCTGGCTCAAGTGATCCTTCCACCTCGTCTTCCAAGTAGCTGGAACCACAGGCGTTTGCCATCATGCCTGGCTAATTTTTTGACATATTGCAGAGATTAGGTCTCGCCAAGTTGCCTGGTCTGGTCTTGAACTGTGGGCTCAGGCAGTCCTCTCGCCTGGGCTTCCCAAAGTGCTGGGATTACAGGCATGAGCCACTGTGTCAGGCCTTCTTTTTTCTTTTTTTTTTTTTTGAGTTGGAATCTCACTCCGTTGCCCAGGCTGGAGTGCAGTGGGACGCTCATGGCCACCCCAGCGTCAACCTGCTGGGCTCCTGTGATCCTTCTGCCTCTGCCTTCCAACTAGCCAGAACTACAGGTGAGTGCTGCCATGCCCAGCTAATTTTTTATTTATTGAGAGAGGAGGTCTTGCCAAGTTGCCTGGGCTGGTCTCGAACCCGTGGGCTCAGGCAATCCACTCGCCTCGGCCTCTCGTGCAGGGATTATAGGCTGAGCCACCAAGTCTGGCTCAGGCCCTTTCTTTATCTGCATTTTAAATGGTATGGCTATTTTTAAAAACTCTTTTTTTCTTATTATTTCTAAACATTTTGTGTACATTCAGCAACTACTTCAAATAAAATGGTCTTTTGGCTAATTTTACTTAACTCATATTTTTTCCATTTTCATGTTGAGAGTTTCTTCTTCCTATAATAAAATGAACAATTTGCATTTTTTTATGTGAGAGGAACTATTTGAAGTTTTTTTTTAAAACAGCTTTAATACAGTTTGCCTCCATTTTTGAATTTTTAAAAAAATTTTATTTATTTATTTATTTATTTATTTATTTATTTATTTATTTATTTATATTTTGAGTTGGAGTCTCACTCTGTCGCCCATGCTGGAGTGCAGTGGCTGCTCCTGGCCACCGCACCTCAACCTGCTGGGCTTCGGCGATCCTTCCGTCTCAGCCTTCCAAGTAGCTGGAACTACAGGCTCGTGCTACCACGCCCGGCTAATTTTTTTGATTTATTGTAGAGATGAGGTCTCGCCAAGTTGCCCAGGTGGGTCTTGAACCCACGGGCTCAGGCAATCCGCTCACCTCAGCCTCTCAAGGCTCGGGATTACAGGCTGAGCCACTGAGCCTGGCTTGCCTCCATTTTTTTAAAAGTCAGGGTCCCACTCTGTTGTCCAGGCTGGAGTACAGTGGCACAATCAGACTTTACAACCTTGACCTCCTAGGCTCAAGCTGTCCTCTGACCTCAGTCTCCTGAGTAGCTGGAACTATAGGCTCAAACTACCTTGCCTGGCTAATTTTTTGATTTTTTTTTTTTTTTTGGGTTGGAGTCTCACTCTGTCGCCCAGACTGGAGTGCATTGGCCACCACAGCCTCAACCTGCTGGGCTCCGGCGATCCTTCCGCCTCAGCCTTCCAAGTAGCCGGAATTACAGGCATGTGCTACCTCGCCCGGCTGATTTTTTGATTTATTGTAGAGATGAGGTCTCCCTGCCTAGGTGGGTCTCGAACCCGTGGGCTCAGGCAATCCACTCACCTCAGCCTCCCAAAGACGTGGGATTACAGGCTGAGCCACCGAGCCCGGCTGGTTTTTTTTTGTAGAGACAAGGTCTTGTTATGTTGCCAAGGCTGGTCTTGAACTTCAAGGCTCAAGCAGTCCTCCTGCTTCAGCCTTCCAAAGTGCTGGGATTACAGATGTGAGCCATTCTGCCTGGCCTGGTTCACCCATGTAAAGTGTAAAATTCAGTGGTTTTTAGTTTATTTCCAGAGTTATGTAACTCTCACCGTAATCAATTTAGGACATTTTCATCACCCCAACAGGAAACCTGTGCCCATTAGCAGTCACTTTGTATTTCCTCCCTTCTGCCTCCAGCCCCAGGCACCCACTAATCCACCTTCTTTCTCTATGGGTTTACCCATTCTGGGCATCTCATAAAAATGCTATCGTACATTATGTGGTCTTTTGTGACTGGCTTCTTTAACTTGACATAATGTTTTCAAGGTTCATCTTTGTGGCATGTATCAGTACTGCATTTGTTTTTATTACTCAATAATATTTCACTGTATGGATTTGCCACACTTTGTTTACCCATTCCACCAGTTAATGGACATTTGCATCGTTTTACTTTTTGGCTATTATGAATAATGATGCTATGAACATTTGTGTATAAGTTTTTACATGGACATATGTTTTAAATTCTCTTAGTAAATGTCTAGGAGGTGGAGTTGTTGGGTCATATGGAAACTCAGTGTTTAACTTTGTGAGAAATAACCAGATTGTTTTCCAAATTGGCCTCACCATTTTATATTCCTACCAGCAATGTATGTAAGTTTTATCTTCATCAACACTTGTTACCTTTTTTATTCTAGCCATCCTGGAGGGTTTTAGGTGGTATCTCACTGTAGTTTCTTTTGTGTTGAAGTCTTACTGTCGCTCATGCTGGAGGGGAGTGGCACCCTCACGACTACCTCAGCTTGGACCTGCTGGGCTCAGGCAATCCTCCTGCCTTAGCTTTCTAAGTAGCTGGAACTACAGGCCCAGCTAATTTTTTGATTTATTGTGGAGACAAGATCTTGCCAAGTTGCCCCGGCTGGTCTTGAACCCTAGGGCTCAGGCAATCCTCTGGAAGTGCTGGGATTATAGGCTTGAGCCACCGCACCTGACTTCATTGTAGTTTTGATTTGTATTTCCCTTACAGCTAATGATGTTGAGTATCTTTTCATGAACTTGTTGGTCATGTGTATATTTTATTTGGAAAGATATGTATTCAGATCCTTTATCCATTTTCTAGTTGGGTTATATATGCTTTTTATTGTTGAGTTGTAATAGTTCTTTATATATTCTACATACAAATCCCTTATCCGATATATGATTAGCAAAATTTTTCTTTTCATTCTGTGCTATCTTTTCATTTTCTTGATGGTGTCCTTTGAAGTATACAAGTTTTACATCTTGATGAAGACCAGTTTATGTTTTATTTGTTACTTTGCTTTTGGAGTCATATTTAAGATCCAAAGTGTTTTATATAAACTTTATGTATAAAGCAATTTAGTCCTCACAGTTCTAGGAGATAGGTACTGTTGTTAATCCTAGTCTATAGATGCAGAAAGGTTCACTAACTTGCTGATGGTCAAAGCTAGTAAGTGGTAATAAGGGAATTCAGACCCATGAGTTTGCACCCAGTATCTATTCTCTTAACCATCATATTCTATTCCTTTTTATAGGGAATCACTTATTAAAAACTCTTTGCTTATTTGATTTCTTGCTAGTTTTTTTTTTTCCATCAAGGACCTCATCTCTTCATTTACCTTGCTGAGTTCAGTGTAGGTTTGTTTTAGGTCTTAATCATTGCTGTCAGTTAATTTCTGCATTACTTATTCTCCAGTGATGATTGTTGCTAGTTGACCCAAAGTTGTATATAAGCCTTTTATGTGTCACACTAAAAGTGGAGTCATGATTACTGAAAGTTCAAAGAAAGTTTTTGATTGATTTCATTTTGTTAACCTGTGGGAAAAATCTCCAGTGTTGACAGAGTTTGTAAGCCCTTCCAGACTAAAGTCATTGTCTTCCTTTGATTTCCCTTTGTTTCCTCATAGTGTCTAGCATAGTGCTTTATTGTCCCGTAGACTAGTGAGGACATGATGTTCTTAAATCATTGTCTGTAGTAACAGAATTTTGACAACAGAAGAGAAAAGTTAATATAAAAATACCTCTTGGATCTATTAAAAAAGTCTGGAACTTTGAGAAGAGTTCCAGAAACCATATGAAGGCATTTTCCACAAATTTTAGATCTATTTTAGGCATATTATGGTTATACAGCAGAGTAAATTTATTAACTAGATTTGACAGAAGTGTAATATTGGTTACTTGTCTTAATTAAAATATTAGTTACTTGTCTTATTCTGCCTCTGTCAAAGTGATCAGTGCCCGTGAATAAACAAAAGTAAGTTAACATTTATATGTGACATGGGATCAGATTTCATATATATGTGTGTGTGTGTGTGTGTGTGTGTGTGTGTGTGTGTATGTGTGTGTGTATACATATATATACAGGAGGTACCAAAAAATGTATACACATTTGCTCAAAAGATGGCATTAATCAAAGAAATGTAATGCTACCATGTGACAGGCAGGACAGTAGAATTGGCCAGTGCCATCTACCAAGTATGACTTGTATTCATCTTTTGTTATTAGTATGTTTTGACTATTACAATTTTAATACAGTTTTTTCTTTTCTTAAAATGTGTATACTTTTTTGGGGTACCTTCTGTATTTCTGTCTTTCAGAGCATTTTGTAGCTTTTCAGCATTGTTCTAACTTTAGAATTCTATTTTAAAAATTATCACTTTGTCTAGTGCACTTTAGACAGAGTTTATTCTGTCTTATGCACAGAATTCCACTGTTTCCTAGGTAAATATTTTCCTTTAGTTATATTGAATTAGTGTCAGAATTATAGGAACCATGATTTTTGGGCCTTTCCTCTCCATGAATTTAAAGTGTCTGTCTAATGTGATTTTCCCTTTGTTTCTTGGGTCTTCATTATTCAACTAGAATTTTTAAAAATGAATTTGTTTTAATATGTTAAATGCTTAATATGCTAGTATCATTTAATCTGGAATAGTTTCTCAGTCTTTCTTTGTTTTTCATGATAATTGATATTTCTGAAGAATACAGGCCATTTATTTTGTAGAACATTCGCATTTTGCATTTGTCTGAAGTTGCTTCATGATTATGAGATTATACATTTTATTGGAATGGAGGGAGAGGCGGAATAAATGATTCATCCTGCATTAAATCCGGAGGGATATGATATTGGTTTGTCCCATTATTGGTGATGATAACTTTGATCATTGGTTAAAGTGAAATCTGATAAGATTTTCCACTGTGAAGTTACTATTTTTCAGTATGTAATTAATAAGTAATTTGTGGGAAAATAATTTGAGACTGTGTCAATATTTTGTTCCTTATCAAACTTTCATCCACTGATTCTGGCATTCAGTGAAGAATTTTACCTGTCAGTTATTACTTTGATGGTTGCCAAATGATGATTTATTTATTTGTTTCCTTCCTCCCTTCCCTTCTTTCCCTTTTCTCTCTCCCCTCCCTCTCTCCCTCTCCCTCTCCCTTCCCTCCCTCCCCCCTCTTCCTTCCTCCTCTCCTCCCTCCCCCCTTTCCCTCTTTCCCCCTTCCTCCCTCCCTCCCTCCCTCCCTTTCCTTCCTTCCTTCTTTCCTCTTTCCTTCTCTCTCTCTTTCTTTCCCTCCCTCCCTCCC